GACTGAGAGGGGACCTGATCCAGGTCTATAAATATCTAAGGTGTGGGGGGCAGAATGGCGAGGCCAGACTTTTTTCAGTGGTGAGTGGAGACAGGACAAGGGAGAACGGCTGGAAACTGCAGCATAGGAAGTTCCGCACAAATGTGCGCAAGAACTTCTGTACAATGAGGTGACGGAGCACTGGAACAGGCTGCCCAGGGAGGTGGTGGAGTCTTCTTCTCTGGAGATGTTCAAGACCTGCCTGGATGCCTACCTGTGTGACCTGGTGTAGGGAACCTGCTTTGGCAGGGGGGTTGGACTCGATGATCTCTGGAGGTCCCTTCCAACCCCTACAATTCTGTGATTCTGTGATATGCATTTGGTGGTGAACATTGAGCATGGTCAGCTGTTGAGTGGGATAGGAGCTTATGGGCTGAGTATTGAACATACCCTAAGTCAATACCATATCCAGTCCCAGTCTGGGTGCTAGGAGGATCAGAGGGGCCTGTTCTGGGGACAAGGCAGTCTTGGGGCCAGTTGTGAGACCTGCTGCATGTGCACATGTGTGTGCTTGTGATGAAGCAAGTGGTGGAGTTGGGTGGCCTAGAAAGCAGTTAACAGATAGGAAATACATGAATATAAAGAAATGACAGTGGGACTGAGTAGTGCCTAGATATAAGATATTGGCAACATGTTCACTATGTAGCAGAGTGGCGCAGCGGAAGCGTGCTGGGCCCATAACCCAGAGGTCGATGGATCGAAACCATCCTCTGCTATAAGGGCTTTTTTTTCCCCTCCCCCGCAGTTTTAGTTCAAAGAACTGCTTCACCGTGTTCTTCTTCCCTGCACGCCCTTGATTGCGTGGTGCCGGTGTGGGGCCGTGCGGACCGCGTCCGCCGGCTAAGCAGCGACGGAAAAACGAGGGGCGGGGGAAGAAAAAAAAAAACAATCCTACGTATGGCCCGTACGGGGATCGAACCCGCGACCTTGGCGTTATTAGCACCACGCTCTAACCAACTGAGCTAACCGGCCCTGACGCCTCTGAAGCCTTCGTAACCATCCTTATAGGAACAAAAGCTGCATCCCAGCAGAGGCCAGCTTACCTCCTGCGCGCTTCCGCTGCACCGCTCTGCTGTTCTAATGGGAGTCGCTCCGTGCTTACGCTCTCACCCATGGCCCTGCCTCACAGCCCTGCCCAGCCCGGCAGATGTCCTCATGAGATGGCAGATGCTGCAGCAAAGTACTCCTATGCTGTGTATTATATGACTTTCCCATCTGCTGCGTGTGAGGGCTTTGAACTCCTGGGGACTGGAACAAAGATTATCTGCCATACTGCCAAAAGCTGATCAGCAGAAACCCCCATCTGAGATGTTCTCCTGTGTTTTTGGCCATCCTGGTGTTAGCTGCCATTCTGCTATTGAATTCATTTGCCTTTGTGTGGGAGCTCAGGAAAATAGATAGTTGTGCAGAATGTTAAAGAATGGAGACATGCATTTTTACACAAGTTTCTCAAAAATTCGGGGGCTTTTGTCCTTATGCTGGGCTTCATTTCAATTTCAGATGGATGCGGGGAAGTGGAGGGGACTTCTTAGGAGTTGGTGCTACATCTGTGATAGAATCATAGAATTGCAAGGTTGGAAACGACCTGCAAGATTATCTAGTCCAACCGTCCTCCCACTACCATTGCTACCACAAGCACTAACCCGTATCTTGCAGCTCCTCATCCAGATGCCCCTTGAACACTGCCATGGATGGCGACTCCACCATCTCCCTGGGCAGCCATTCCAGTGCCTGACCACTGAGAGAAATAGTTCTTCCTTATGTCCAACCTAAACATCCTCTGATACAACTTGCGGCCATTTCCTCGGGTCCTGTTTGTTGCCTGGGAGAAGAGGCCAAACCCCTCCTCATCATGACCTCCCTTCAGGAAGTTGTAGAGTGCAACAAGGTCTCCTCTTCTCCAGACCGAACAATCCCAGCCGCTCTTCATAAAACTTGTGTTCCAGACCCCTCACCAGCTTTGTTGCCCTTCTCTGGACACGCTCCAGGGCCTCAATGTCTTTTTTGTAGTGAGGGGCCCAAAACTGAATACACCATTCGAGGTGCAGCCTCAACAGAGCTGAGTACAGGGGATGATCACCTCCCTGCTCCTGCTGGCTGCATCATTTCTAATGCAGGCCAGGATGCCGTTGGCCTTCTTGGCCACCTGGGCACACTGTCGGCTCATGTTCAGCTGAGCATCAACCAACACCTCCAGGTCCTTCTCTTCTTCATGCTCATCCAGCCACTGAGCCCCAAGCCTATAATGCTGCATGAGGTTGTTGTGCCCAAAGTGCAGGACCCAGCACTTAGCCTTGTTGAACCTCATCCCATTCACCTCAGCCCAGAGATGCAGCTTATCCAGATCCCTCTGAAGGGCTTCCCCACCCTCAGGCAGATTTGACACCACCTCCCAACTTGGTGTCTTATGCAAGCTTACTGAGGGTGATAAACAGATGTTCTGGCTAATCATTCTCCTCTTCTTGCCTCTCAAAGGTAATGGCTGTTCAGCACAGAGAAAAATGTGTAGAATCATGTAATGGTTTAGTCTCTGAGGGGCCTTTAAAGATAATCTAGTTCCAACCCTGGACAGGATCACCTCCCACTAGGTAAAGTCGCCTAAAGCTCAATCCAACCAGGCCTTGAATGCTTCTAGGGATGGGGTACCCACAGCTTCTCCAGCCAGACTGTTCAAGCACCTCACCACTCACCACAGCAAAGAATTTCTTCCTATTATCTAATATTAATCTACCCTCTTTCAGCTTAAAAATGTGTTACCTCTTGTCCTATCACTACATGCTCTTATAAAAAGACTCTCCATCTTTCTTATAGCCCTCTTTAGGTATTAAAAGGCCACAATGAAGTCCTCTCAGAGCCTTCTACATGATGAACATGCTCAACACCCTTAGTCTTTCCTTGCAGGAGAGATGCTCCAGACATCTGATCATCCTTCATGCCCTCTACTGAACCTACACAAATAAGCCTATGTCTTTCCCATGACTGTGCTGAGGGCTCCAGGCATGGTTGCAGTACTGCAAGGAGGGATTTCTTGAGAGCAGAGTAGATGTGGCGACAATCATTTCCCTTGCCTTGCTGGCCATGCTTGTTTTCATGCTGCTCAGGGTAGAATTGGCCTTCTGGGCTGCAGGTGTTTACTGCTGACTCATGTACAAGTTTTCATCCACAAGAACCCACAGGTCCTTCTCTCTGTTCTCAGTGTGTTCATTCCTCAGTCTGTGCTGATGTGTGCACCTCACACTTGGCTCTGTTAAGCTCTGTGAGATTTTATGCGAGTCCACTTCTCCAGAGTGCACAACCCCTTTGGATGCATCCCTTTCTTTTGTTATATCAGCTACACCACTCAGCTTGGAGCTGTATGCAAACATGCATGAGAGTGCACCTGCTCCCCCTGTCTGCTTCGTTACTAATGATATTAAGTATTACCAGTCTCAATATGGACTCTAGACCTGGATGTGGGCTGTTGACCACAGCTCTCTGGACACAAGTGTCCAGCCAATTTCTTATCCACCAAACAATCCACTCTTCAAATTCTACTCTCTCCAATTTAGTGGAAACAGTGTTCTGTGAAACACTTCCTGATGCATGTTTACCTATGCATACACCTCAAAAGAGGATTTCTGTTCTCCTAAGCTTGCTTGCTTTGTTCAGTCTCAAGCATTTCCTAGTACTTGCTCTGGTCCTTGATTCTCACACTGTTGAGGCCAGACAACATGGAGGCAGGGATCCACAAAAGAGGTATAAATTACTGTTTCCAGATCAACTGTCCACTAACAGCAATCCTTCATCTCTCTGGTAGTGTCAGGCAGAGCTGTAGAACTCCTGTGAGATATGGTCCTCTACAAGTCCTTGGGAAGCCAGAGTTCTTGTCTCAAGTGCAGAATCTAAGCTCTGCCCACTATATATTTCACCCACCACTTTGCCAGGGTGCTCTCCCAATATTTTGTCACACAGGCAAGTTGTATGCTGACATCCTCTCATCTATGCTGTGTCGTAGAATCATAGAATGGTCTGGATTGAAAAGGACCTCAAAGATCATCTAGTTTTTTCCTCTGCCATTGGCAGTCACCAGCCAGCAGACCAGGCTGCCCAGAGCCCGGGCTTATGGGAAGCTCACATCTTTTTACATTGGAACCAAAATAGGACAAAGTAGGACTTTTATAGAAACGCTAGATCTATCTTCAAGCCACCAAATCAAGCTCCTCTCAACTTCAGTTCAACCAAATGAACTGAAATGCTGATAATCAAATTGAGTAGATTGTCACTGACTGTGATGAAGATAGAGGTGCTGACTTACCTATAGGTACCTACAGTCAGGTGTCATAATCTTGAACTGAATTCCATCCAACTACCTATTCAGCTGAATTTATCTGGTTCATTTTTACTGTCTAGTGGAAGGAATGTTTTCTCTGGAATAAGTCACATTGCTATGCGAGTCATCTGTTGGCATCTTCTTCCTAAACTGCACAATTTTGTTTCCTGACTTAGCAGGAATTTTGCTACATGTTAGGTTTATGAATGTTGGAGTCAAGCATTCTTATGACAGTGATTTATTTTGTACTAGCTTGAAGGCAAACCAGTGTGTAGAAGAAGAACAAAGGCTTTAGCATATCACAATTAATACACTGACTTTGTGAATCATTTCTGTAGTTTCTGCAATATTTTCATGGATGGTTTCATGAAACATATTTATTCAGTACATAGATGATGTACATTTCTCAGTATTTTCCAGTAAGAGGTAAAAATGTCCAAACTTTGAGAAGTGTCCATACTTTGAGGAAAGCATTAATTCTCCTGTTTTAACCTTTAAAGCATGAGCAACTTTTTGAAAATAAGAAGTGAAACCGTCTGGGCAGAGGCATCTTGCTGAACTGTCTCCTTCCAAATGTCTTCCTTAGAGCATGCTTTACTTCTTTGTTTCGTAAGCTGTAGATGATTGGGTTCAGTATAGGAGTTACTACTGTTTAAGAAAGAGCCACTAGTTTCCTGCTCTTTGCCAAGAATCTGGACCTTGGCTTTAAATGTATCAAGCCAGTTGTGCAGTAGAACAGCATCACCACCACCATGTGAGCAAAGCAGGTGAAGAAAGCTTTCTGTCTTCCTTCAGAAGATGGCATTTGGAGGATGGAATGGATTATTTGGATGTAAGAGACTGTTATCAAGATAAATGGGATAAGCACAATTGTAACAGTAGCGACGAACACAAGAAGCTCAAATAAGTGTGTGTCTGAACAGATCAAATCTAGAACAGGAGCAATATCACAAAAGAAGTGCTCAATCTCCCTAGAACCACAAAAGGAATAGCTAAACAGCCAGCCAGTGAGTCCTGCGGAAATTGGCATGCCAGCAAGCCAGCATGCCGTGACCATATGAAAACATACTCGCCTGTTAATTCTGGTGGTGTAGTGCAAGGGATGGCAAATAGCCACGTATCTGTCATACGCCATGGCACTCAAGAGGAAGCACTCGGAAGTGACAAAGAATACGGCAAAGTAAAGTTGCAGGGCACAGGCAGAAAAGGAGATGATCTTTCTCTCCAACAACAGATCTGTAAGCATCTTGGGCACTATGTTTAATGTAAAGCAAATTTCAATCAAGGCCAGGTTTTTGAGAAAATGGTACATCGGGGTGTGTAAGGCAGGGTCAGCAGTTGCGACTAAAATTATGAGCAAGTTCCCTGTCATTGTGATTAGGAACATGAGGAGGATTCCCTCAAAGAGAAGAACCTGAAGAGAGGCGAGGTAGGAGAACCCCTGCAAGGTGAAGTACGTCTGGTTTTTCAGCCCTTATTCTTCATCAGCTTCCATATGAAACAGGAACCCAGCCTGTATCAGTCAGTGAGAAAGATATGAAGAAGAAAACTCTTTTTGGGGATGAATACAAAGCAATGAGCTTCTCTGAAATCAATTCCAGTATTAAGTGGGAGAAACAACTATAAATGGGCAAACAACATTTTGAGAGGTACACTAGAAAAGCAACTTGTCATGAAAACAAGGTTACAAGAAAAACAGTGAGCTGAAGTGCAGAAAAGCTAGGATTTTCTTTAATGTTTGCCTACTTTCCTTTTAAATTAAGATAAAATATTGCCTCACCCACTTTACATTTTAGTTCTACTAGTATTTTCTCAAATGTAATTTTGTCAGCAATTAGTGTATTTTATTTTCAGTGTGTGAAATAAGAGTTTATTTCTTACTGACCTGCAATCTAATTAAATTCTCTGCTTTAAATTTTTCGGGTTTTGAAAAACTATTTTTCCCTGTTCTCACACATAAGCATGTATATATGCATACATAGATTTCAAATAAACAAGGGCAAATAAAATTGTTGAGTGTACCGACAAAGTTTCGATAGCTTGAAGAATGGATAGAATGCTTATGTTATTATTTGCCATCATCATTGCTAACACACAAAACAATGACCTGCTTATTTACTTATTTATTTTAACCCTAGCATCACTCTTTATTCAACTCCACTGGGCATTTTTTAATAAATTCAGTATTGTAAGAAATGTTCCTCTTTTAGATCATCAGCAACCTACCAGCCTGTATCTAGCTATCTGAAAGTATATGGCCACATTCAAGATAGAAATCTGAAGCACCTTCTCATTTGCACCAGCTGGAAAAGTAAGTCAGAAAACTATATTGTATTTCTCACCGAATCTAATAATTTTCATTGGAATCACTATTTGGGAATGTCTGTTAATCTCTATTCATTAGCACAGAAAGGTACAGCTCTCTGAATTGCTGACACACACATAGCTCTCTGAATTGCAGAAAGCAATATTAGCTGAAGAAGATTATACCTGACAAGTTGCAACATCAACTTTGATCATCAGTGCTGACTGACCTTCACAGTCAAATGAAATCTGCTTTCTTATGCAAAACAATCCCTTTCAGGATACTACCATCTTGAGTGGTAATTTCTCTGATCATCTTAGTGGCCCTTAGTGGCCCTATTCTGAACTCTTTTCCATTTAATATAGAATTTTATGTATGGAGGGACTCCAGAATGCGATACCTTTCTCCATGGGTGCTCTTACAAGTGAAAAGCAGAAGAAAATGAGGGGCTTCCCTTGAACAGCTGTTTGGGTCTTGCTAGAACCGCTGCTGAAAAGGTTATTCTCTGCAGGGACACCCTGTAGGCTCATGCTCAGCTTGCCATACACTGGGACTTCCACATTCCTTTCTGAAGAGCTATTCCCCAGTCTGTCAATGCCAGTCTGATTCACCTCTTCCACCATTTGGCATTTGTTCTTGCTCTAGCTTCATAAAGTTCCTGCATATGGCCTATCCCCTATCCTCCAGTTGTTATAATATGGAAACTCCTGAAGATGTTCTCCATCACATCTTCCCAGTCACTGATGGAGATGGGAAGCAGCACTACTCCAAATCAACCCATGAAGAATGCTTCTCACAGCCAGATAGCATCTAGACTAGGTTGTTGAATCTACCTGTGAAAGCTTGATGGTCCAGGCAGTTTTTTCACTCACCTGTTAGTTTTCTTATCCAGCTTCTATCCTCCCATTTTGGCGATGTGGCTATTATGTCAAGAATTGTTGAATGCCATCCATCGCTCTCCCCTGTGGCCGCTCATCACCACCACACTCACTATCTGAAAGACTGAGAAAAGCTTTTGTATTATTTCTGCAAACATCCATATGACTAATCAGCAGCTGAGATACCCATTTGAATTTCCTTTATAATCTGTGAAGAGGAACAAGAACACTCAGGTGTTATTTTGTTTATCTTTCAGAAGTAATTTAAAATATGCTAATTGCCAGGTGTACTTGATTTGCTTCCATCTCAAAGTAAAATCTTACTAATAGATAATATATATATTAGTAATGTATAGAAATAATTTAGTAATATAAATAAAATAGTAAATATTGCTCAGTCATTAGTGTATGCATTGCAGACATTAGTATATAGTATTCAGATGCATGCTGTTCTGTCCTTTAAAATGTAAACTGTTCTTTCTTGAGTCATCTACACTAGTAAAAAATTTCTTGACAGTTTTTGTTACCAAAAGGACTAGGAAATATTAGTATACCTCAATTTTTTTGAGAAGTCATCTGGAGCTTATGATATGATTTCAGATGTTGGGATACCTTCTTGCCTTTTGGGCAACTTATCAGATCTGTGAATAGTTTTGTGTTGGATCCTGTAGAGAAGGAGAGGTTTGGCTGTTCTGAATGGCATCTTGCATTGCTTTCTGAGATCTGAACTCCTCTCTAGATTCATTACCGAGTATACTCAAAAGACAGAACATCTCCCCTGGTATTGAAGTAGACTGTGAACAACATAACTTAGTGAAAGTTGAGTGGGTGGTTTTTTTTTTTTTTTTTTTTTTTTTTTAAATGAATAGAAATAATGAAGTTTGTTAGGAGAGGTGAAGAGTGATGCGAGTGTGGCCACCTCAGTTCTGGCCCAGAACTGCTCCTGTCCAGCAGATAAGACCTGGCCTGGTGACCGAGGACCAAGCTGGGGGATGTGACTGCCGCTTCCCCTTTGAATATTCAACTGACAGCAAAGTTCAGCATGTGTCATACAGGCTGACAGAGACGCAGAGAGGACACTGACACGACTAGCCAGAAAGGCTGCCCTGAACAAGGGCTGCCTTCAACAACACTCACACAGAGGACTTATGTAAATGCAGACATTTCCTCCTCTCTGGCTGGTGGCAGTAGAAGTTCACTAGTGAAGACACACACACAGCACTCTCTAGGTTCACAAGCACAGACATTCACATATACTTCAAGGTGCATGGCCCCTTTGTCCATCCAGCACTCCCTGCCAGATCCTGGAGTACCTCCATGGCCCTTCTCTCTGCTCAGCACCCCAACTGGATCCCAGGCCCTCTGAAGCGTGTACACTGCATGGGTCACCTACTCACTGACCAGATCAGCTTGAATTTCAATTCTGCTCAGACCCAAGGCCCCAGATACTTGCTGACTGGTCTAGCTTCATCTTTTGCAGGGAGAAAATTAGAAAAGCCAAAGCCCAGCTAGAACTGAACTTAGCCACCAAGGTGAAGGACAACAATAAATATTTCTAAAAATACATCAACTGTAAGAGGAGGGTCAGGGAGAGATCAATCCCTTGTTGGATTCTGAGGGCAACATAGTGACCTCAGGATAAGGCTGAGGAACTTAATGCCTTCTTTGCCTCAGTCTTTAATAGTAAGACTTGTTACTCCCTGGGCACAAAGCCTCTTATACTGGTAGATAGGGATGGGGAACAGAATACGCCCTGCATAATCCATGAAGGATTGGTTTGGACCTACTCTGAAAGCCGGACACTCAAAGTCCGGCTTTCAGAGCTGGAAAAACAGGAAAAACAAGTCCATGGGCCTAGATGGGTTGCACCGTGGGGTGCTGAGGGAGTTGGTGGATGCGGTTGCCAAGCCACTCTCCATCATCCTACAACACTCCTGGCTACCGGTGGACTGGAGACTGGCAAATGTGATGCCCATCTTCAAAAAGGGCTGGAAAGATGATCCTGGTAGCTACGGACCTTTCAGTCTCACCTCGGTGCTGGGGGAGGTTATGGAATGGATAATCTCGGGAGCCATCGTGGACTGGTTAAGGGTCAACCAGAGGACCAGGTCCAGTCAGCATGGGCTTACCAATGATAGATCCTGTCTGACAAACCTGATTTCATTCTATGACAAGGTAACTCGCTTAATGGATGAAGGTAAAGCTGTCGATGTGGTCAACCTGGACTTCAGTAAAGCCTTTGACACTGTCTCCCCAGCATTCTCATGGAGAAACTGGCTGCCCACAGTTTGGATGGATGTATGCTCTGCTGGGTGAAACACTGGCTGGATGGCCGGGCCCAAAGAGTTGTGGTCAGTGGAGTTAAATTCAGTTGGCAACCAGTCACGAGTGGTGTGCCTCAGGGCTCAGTGCTGGGGCTGCTTCTATTCAACATCTTTATTAATGGTCTTGAAGAGGGGATTGAGTGCACCCTCAGTAAGTTTTCAGACACCACCAAGCTGGGAGGTGTGAGAATCCTTCTTTGTTTTTTGGCTCAAAGCTTGCTTCCTGAGGTATTTCTTTTGATAAGACTCTGATTGATTTGTTAAGGAGGCAAGTGATGGGTGCTACCATGTGATAATCAACATCACTTTGTGGACATTTGAAAGCACCTTCCTCCAGAGCTGCTTGCCTATGGAAGAATGCTCAGGAGTGTTTAGTGGCGGAAGATCTGGCCTGCGACTAAATAGCTCCAGCTTGGTATGGGAAAATTGGGGAATGATACCATCGTGTCCTGTGAAAAACAGGCTGCAGGTGGGCATCCCTGCTCCCTCTTATCTACTGGCAAGGCCCAGGAACAAAGGAGTTTCTGCTGAGATCCCAGACTCAGAAGCTGCCACTCCAAGGAGAGCTGATCCAAACACTTTGGATTTGATCTGTCACTCCAAAGAGAGCTGACTTGACCATTTTGGACTTAAGTAAGTTGGTACTACCATTGAAATAAGTTGGTACTACCATTGAAAAGGGGCCATCATTGCTGTGGGCACCATTGTTGTCAACCGAACAACTATGCCCAACAGGTCACCACTACTGAAGATCAATGACTGAACTACAAACCACGCTGGACCCATGGTGGTGACTATCTCCCTCTTGCTTCCTATAAAGACTCCTTGCTTCTTCTTTCCTATCTTTTCTATCACCCTCCTTCCCTTCCCCATTACTCTA